CTGTCACACAGGATGGCCCTGGCGCCCCATCCCTCCCCCACCATGCCGTGCCAGACTCCTGGTCAAGTGTTGGGGGAGGAAATGGGGAGGGCCCCCAAGTGAAGTGAGGCTGATACAGCTGAGAGGAGACTGTGGCCCACCCCGCTGCTTCTATACAAATGGGGAACCTGAGGCACCTCCCATCAGACAGGCACTGAGCTGGATGCCAGCACAGGTGCTTGGCTGCTTCCCCTGGCCTCATCCTGCTAGTGCCAGAAGGACCATGCCAGAGGCTAACTATGGCCGTGGACCAGCTCCAGCCCAAAAGGAGTAGAGTGATAGCCAGCTCTGAACCCATGGCCCTTCTAGAAGTGTCCACCTCCTGCTTCCTGCCCAACATCAAGCTCTGCTCCACTTTGCAGCCCCCTGACTGAACCTAGCAGGAGCCTCTCCCAGCCTGGATGGCAGATCTCTGGATTGACTCCCTAGGGAACACCAGCTCGTGGGAAGGTCTGCATTCTGCATTGTGATATTACATATTTGTTTTCATAAGAATTTAAAAAAAAAAAACAACGTGTGATTAGTATATCACACACTTGCTGTCACCAATCCTATCGCTTTTACATTTGGTTAAGTGAAAGGAAAGTGATTGATTTAAAATAATTTAAAGGAAACCTAGATAAGCACGGTGGAACCTTGACAGCCTGGAACTGAAGCCAGGGCTCATTGGAGGAGGGGAGCAGTCTGTATCAGGTCAGAGGTCAGAGGGCCAGGCACTGAGGTCAGACACAGCAGGCCATCCTTGCATCCATGCCTGGGGCCCCTCCATCAGGCCTTCCTGCTCCAGACCTGCAGGGGGTCAGGAATTTGCCACAAAGAGGAGTCCTGGCCCTTCCCATGGATGGTTGGAATGGTCTGGCTGTAGGGAACCAGGAGGCTTCTGCTGCAGCCAGTGATCAAGTTCTGGTTAGGTCACTTCCTGGGAACCTCCAGACATGGGTCTGTGATCCTCACCAGGCCTCTGCCCCCTTTCTCCCTGGCCAGTCTAATAATGGGAGCATGAGTGGTTTTGAGCAGCCCCAGAGTTCAGGGTCAGAGTTGAAAATCTAGGCTATCCTAGATCTGTGGGCCGACCAGTCCCAGAAGCTGTTTCCTACAACCTCAGTGTCCCCCATCTGTAGAACGAGGTGCTTTGAGCTGATGGGATTCCAGGAGTGACCAGCAGAGAAGCCCCAGAGAGAAGCAGCCCTCAGCCCTCCAGGCCCCCCCAACTGTCGCCACCATATCTATGTAAGGCAATCCTGCCGCCAAGGGCTCTCCAGCTCATCAGCCCTTTTATCGCCCTGGACACAATTAGGGGAAGCCTGAAATCAGGCAGAAGGAAAACAAGGGCACCTGCCCTCCTCCAGGTGCCCAGCCAGCCCATTCCACCCGCCCTGGTGGCCTCCTGGGCCATCCCCAGGCTGCAGGAGGCCTAACATTGGGTCACCCCCACCCCCCACCGACCCAGGCTGCCTTTGAGAAGTCACTTCTCCCTAAGCATGAGAGCTGGACATTGCCACCCCCCTGCCCACACATACATACTGCGATCTCTAGGGTTCCCCAACCAATCCAGCCAGCCCTGGAAAATAGAGGTGGTGCTGTCTCAGCCAACACTGGGGACCCCACTTACTCAGTGATCAGTGCTGGATGCCCAGGGTGTTGGTGTGTCGGGGGTGGTTGAGTGGCTTGTACTCTCCTGCACCTCACCCACTCCCATGGAAATGAAGAAGACAGGAGTAATGAGGGCTAGCCCTGGCACCAGTGCCAGGCAGTTGGTCTGGCGTCCTCTTTCAGCTGTGTGCGTTTGGCTGTGTCGTGCCATCTGTTGAAATGGGTACCAGTACCTACCTCCTATGTGAGAGAAGATACATCCATCTGCAGAAAGACCTTCAAACAGCCCAGCGACCAATCCTTTCATGTTGGATTTTATTACCTTTATCCGCTTCTTCCCTGTTGTGACAAGTGAGCACATACTGGTGGCTCACACGGCTTCACTTCCAGGCCCTTGCCCTGCTTGGCTCCAGCACTGCTGGGAGGAGGGAGTCGGGGAGCTGAGAGCTATAGAGTGTTGTAGGTGGGGAGGGGCAGCGGAGTGCAGTCAGGAGCTTTTCCGCACCCACGTGTTGGAGAAATTATTTAAGGCGGCCTTATGAGAAAGGAGCCTGCCCCTTGAGCCCCTGGGAGTGAGTTAGGATTTCTTCACTGAGTCTGAATGTGACTTTGTCATTTTTGTATATATTTTTTAAGTGGTGTGGGTTTCAGGCCCGGCAAACCGGAAAGGCTCCCGGTTTCTGTTATGGTGATGGTATCCTGTGGCCCAGCTCCACGCTGCCCACCTGGCAGAGCCGACAGGACCAGGATCCTGCCTCTGGGGGTGGGGGGTGGGGACTGGTGGGAACAGAACTTGGGGAGGGGTTTGGGGAGGAGCCTGACTTTTCACTCGAGACAGCTGTGTGACCTACAGCCTCGCTCCTGAGCTGTGGGAGCCCCCAGGAAAGCAGGGGGGGAGGATGGGACTGGGCATGTGTAGGACACACCCAGCCCTGCTGCCTCTCCATGCCCCTGCCCAGTGGGTGGGCAGGCCCCACAGGAAGTTGGCTGCTGAGCCAGAGCAGCCGCTCTGTGGCCAAGGTTGGCGTGTCTGGCTGTATGCCAAACCTGGGGCCATCTCTGCACCTGGAAGAGGCCAGTAAGCAGGGCCAGTGGCTTCAGGCATGTCAGAGAGAGCCAGCCACAGAGGGAGTGGACAGGCCCTTGGCAGGGGGCGGGCCTCAGGGTGGGTGGGTGCCCTGGACCCTCAGTGCCTCCCCTGCCTCCTGTCACCAGGGCCTCTCAGCCAGGGCCCCGACAGGGACATTTATAACTCACAGCTGTGCCGTCCTGGGCCCAACTGACTGTGGTAAACCGATCTGGCTTCAGGAAGTCCTGTCTCCAAGCCACTCCCCGATCCGACCCCCACATTCTCCTTCTCCTCCTGACACCCACATCCTGTTCTCAGCAGGAGAGGCGGCCTGTGAGGTGGGGTGGTGGTGGGGTGTCGGGGGAGGAATTGACTGACCAGTCCCAGGCCTGGCCTGGATCTTCAACCTGTCGGGCCAGGTACCCTGCCTACTCCTGTACACACACACACACACACACACACACACACACACACACACACACACACACACACACACACACACACACACACACACACACACACACACACACACACACACACACACACACACACACACACACACACACACACACACACACACACACACACACACACACACACACACACACACACACACACACACACACACACACACACACACACACACACACACACACACACACACACACACACACACACACACACACACACCCACCCACCCACCCACCCACCCACCCCAACTGCAGAGAGGTCTGGAGGCTCCCAGGGCCCTCAAGAACAGGTAGGGATGTCCCACCCACAGAAGCAGAGTCTCCTTCTGGCCTCTGCTCCCTGCAAGGAGGAGGGGCTGACCCAGAGTCCTTGGCAACTGCCAGGGTCTCCTCCTGGCCACCCTCCCTTGGGGCACCTGCCTGTCCGCCTGCATCCTCAGCTCAAGTAGGGGGTAGGCAGTGGGCTGGCCCAGTGCTTCCTGAAGTCCAGCCACCCAGCATCCCAAAGCTGGGATCTGTTCACCTTTGCAGTCCCACGGTGCCAGCCCTGCTGCTCCCTGCCATCCCAGCTCCTCTGTGTGTCATCTGCCTGAGCTGGGGTCTATGATAAGGCTCTTGAAGAGAGGCAGTACACGGGGCAGATGATGTTTTGTTAATTACGTGTCTATTTGTTCTGAAGTTTTATTTATTTGGAAGGCACAGTTACAGAGAAAATCAAAGACAGAGAAATCTTTCATCCACTGGTTCACATCTCCACGTGACCATAACAGCCAAATCAGGAGCCTGAAACTCCATCTGGGTCTCCTACATGGGTGCAGGGATCCCCAAGCATTTGAGCCATCTTCCATTGCTTTCCCAAGTGCATGAGCAGCAGCTGGTTTGGAAACAGAGTAGCTAGTACTCGAACTAGCACTTACACACAAGATGCGGGTATCACAGGTGGTGGTGGCGGCTTAACCCGCTGTGCCACAACACTAATCCTAGTTATATTGTTACTAAGGCGCGTTAGAAGTAGGTAAGTAGCTTGTGATAGCTTTGGACAAGGACAGATTTTTGGGGGCTGATCAGAGAGAGAGATTTGAAGGTAAATTTTAATGAACTCATCCACCAGGTTGCACTCAGCTCCCACCAAGAATCTTGAAGCGCCCAGGAGAAAGCCTGAAGTTTTAGCAACACAGATGAGGTCACCAGGGTCCTGCTTTGCTCTCAGCTGTTTCTGGGTTTCCTCCTTCCAGCTGAAGCAAAGCAGTCGGCCCTAAACTCCGGCAGGTGGACAGGCAAAGCAGGTGCTGAGCGCGTTTTCCCTAGGTGGCCTGCTCACAAATAAAATGGCTCCACGGGTGGGCCACAGCTCTGGTGAGCAACTCTCATGGAGCAAAGAATTCAAGTAGGGGTCACAGGTTGACTTTGGAAGTGACTGAGGGCTGGCATGTGAGGTAATTCCCTGAAGCCAGGCGCTGGGTGAGAACAGAGCAACAGAGGGCTTCATGTGTGCAACTAAAAATACCGCCCTGCCGGCCTCTCCCGGTCGCCCTGCCCTGGGCTGCCTAGGGAGCCATGGCCTTCTGCTTTTCTCACCAAGAAGGGAAAGAGCACGAAGCCCCCAAGCCCCAGAAGAAACCAAACTTAGGCATTAAAAACACACGCACGCACACTAGGAGGAGTTGGCTTATCGGAGTGTGGCTGGGTGGGGAAGAAACAGGTGGCTCTGATAAATCAGGCCCAAGAGGCCACTGAGATTAGCCTAGTGGTGGGACACAGGTGAGAGGGAGTGCCTGGTTGTATCCCTGGCTGCTCATATGTGTCTTATCTGTCCCCTGTGTATCCAGGAGGAAGTGGAGGTGGCCTGGTGACATCAGGCTAATGCTGCAAGGGGTGTGAGAAGAGGAGCCGCTGTGCACTGCTGAGCTGCCAGACTTGAGAAGGTAACATCATACATACCTCTCACCCCCCGGCCATGTGGCCACCTTGACCTGATACCTGGGGCAGGATGAGGTTGGCAGAGTGGGACATGCCAGGGCTGGGGCAGTGCTATAACTCTGCAGTCTCCCCCTCTTGCTCCTCATGTGGTGTGCATGTCAGTAGAGTGCTTCTGGGGATCAGTTTGTCTGTCTGTGAAATGGGCACTTGATTCTCCACATCCACTTTATCCAGTTCCGAACGCCTCTGTGAATCCTTGCAATCTGACTTCAGTTTAGAATGAAGCCACTGTAGCAGCTTGGCTTGGCTTGACCTCTGGAGTGAAGCCAGGGCACACAGCCCTGGTGAGTGTTGCATTATAAAGGCCACAGGTCAGCAGGAGCAGGCTTGGGAAGAAGGGGCTTTCCAGGGTGTACCTCGCTGGAGCTGTGTGTCCCTGGAGATGTGACTGTGGTCTCTGGCTCAGCGTTCAGGTGTTCTCCAAGGCAGCCCTGGACAGTTGTTGGCATCTGCATTTTCAAACCAGGAAGCTAAGGTGCAGGGAAATGAATGTACCTGCTGGATTCCCACAGGAGCTCCCTGTGTACCAGACAGCTCTACTTGGTCCTGGGGGCCTGTTTGTCTGTCTGGGTGCTGCACGACACTGGGCTCCCCTGGCTTCCCCTGAGAAATCCTGCAGTCGACCCCATGTAATCCCATTAACTTTTTTCCCCTAAGATCTATTTATTTTTATTAGAAAGGCAGATTCACAGAGAGACAGAGAGAAAGATCTTCCATTTGCTGGTTCACTCCCCAAATGACCACAACAGCTAGAACTGAGCCAATGTGAAGCCAGGAACCAGGAGTTTCTTCCGGGTCTGCCATTTGGATGCAGGGTCCCAAGGCTTTGGACCATCCTCCACTGCTTTTCCAGGTCACAAGCAGGGAACTGGATGGGAAATGGAGCAGCCGGGGCACTAACCAGTGCCCATATGGGGTGCAGGGCTAGTCAGTTGAGCCAGCATGCTGGCCCCTCATTGTCTATTGAGTGGCTCTGGTAGAACCCACCCATCCTACCGATCATCCATCCAGTCACCCAGCCATATCTCTCTCTACCCACCACTTTGTTCACCCATCCAGTTCCTGAACTGTCCTTCTTGCTCACCCATGTATCCATGTAGCTGTCCATCATCTATCCTCCCTCTATCCACCATTCCCTCTATTTCACTCATCAGACACTCACTGGCTCTTGCACCAGGTCAGACCTGCTCTAAGGACCAGGTTTTGAAGCTGGGTCAGACACAGCCTTTTCTTGAGAGGATCTGGGGTGGGAGGGAGGCCAACTCGGGACCCCAGAGCTGGGTTCCCTTCCACGAGGGCTGTCTGGTATCTGTCTGCACAAAGTGGAGGTGAGAGGGGCTGTGGGCTGATTCTGCAGCCAAATGCTCAAGAGAGGAGAGGGACCTTGCTCATCTGTTCATCACCCAGGCTTTGTCAGAGAAGATCTCTATAGCCAGAGAGCTCTTGGGTTGGGAGGCACAGGAGCAGAGGAAACAGACAAAACTCCCTGCCCACATGATGCTTACACACTCGAAGATACAGGTATCGTGGATGTGTGAAAAAGCAAACTTGCAATTATGTCAGGTGACGCCAAGTCCTGAAAAAAGTCCAGGTGTTCTATGGCAGGGGTAGTCAAAGAGGGCCTTTGGCAGGTGGCATTGAACTTGCCCTTCATGCAGCAGTGGGAGTGAGCAGTGATATACTCAAGTTCAGAGAAACACAGGGAGCTTTAGGGCTGGAGGCGAAATCAGAGAGAACGCAGCCTGGAGATGGCCAGGCAGCTGGTGTGCAGTCCTGGTAGAGGCACTCGTGGCTTGGACTGGGGTTGGCAGCCAAGAGGTGAGACGCCATTGCAGTCTAAATATAGTCCACAGATGCAGCAGATGCACTTGCTTGTGGATTAGAAGTGAGGGATTAAGAAGAGCAGGGACAGGCGGGGAAGGCTCCTGGGTTCGGGATAGGAGCCAGGGGTGGTCACTTACTCTGCCAGCGGATAACAGCCAGGGGAGGCTGCTTTGGCACACGGAATCTGGGATGCCTTTGAGACACACAGGTGGAGAGGCCGAGCAGGCAGCTGGATAAATGAAGTCTGGAAGGCACAGAGAGAGATGCTGGCTAGAGTTATAAATCTGGGAGATGTTACCCATGGATGGTGTCACAAGCTCCCAAAGCCGATGGAGTCACCTCGAGAGTGGATTAGAGGGTCAGAGCCAGGATCTGAGTCACGTGCATCCATCCTTTAGCAGGGCAGGTGAGGGGTGGGGAACAGGGAGCATCGAGGAGGGGGCAGCAAAGGACACATGCGATTCAGGCAAGCAGAACAGGAAGAGCTGGCTTGGAGTAAGCAGGAAGGTGTTGCTGGGCACAGTGGGGAAAGACAGCATACACAGAGGCCTAGGGACTTGATACATGAGGGATAGAAGAGAGGGAGGGAGTGCCAGAGCATCTACCTCCCACACCTGGCCACCCAGGAGCAAGAGCCTGTGGGTGTCCAGCTAAGCTGTTTGAGCCTATGGCCTGGAATGATGCTGGGAACTACATCCATCCTGAGGTGGCAAGGCATGGGTTAGACCCCCTCAGGTACTCTGGGCCTACTGAGCTATCTTTCTACTCTGTCTGAGATCTGACCCTCCACCTACCTTCCAACCTGTTTGGTGCCAGCCAGCCCTTTGCTAAGCACCTGCAGTGTGCCAGGCCCAGGACTCCGAGCAGGACATCCAGTGATGACGACAGTGAGAGGGTCCCTGGGTCCAGTGGGATGGTGGAAGAGGGACAGGGAAAGAACCTGAAACTTCTGGTAGAGCAGAGAGCATCATTGGCACCTGGCCACGGCTCAGGCATGAGCATGCGTGCATCCCGAGGCCTACCCAGTGCTTTGGGGTCCCCTTGGTCAGGAGAGCTGCAGGAGCAGCGAGGGGTCCAGAGACTTCTCTATGCAGAGAGTCGGGTGAAGCCCCATAGGGTCTTGGGAGTCCTTTCCCAGGACAGAGTCAGGGGAGGTACCCTTCTGGCTGTCGCTGGGTATATAGTGTGTGGCCCGTGGCAGGAGCTGCAGGTAACTCTAGTGTGCCAAGCAGTAATCCGGCGCCTTCAGACTCACTTTCCTTTAAGCCTGTCTCCACGATCCTCTCCCTAAATCCTGCCGCCACCTCGGTCACGACTGGCTAGCCGGGCTGATCTCCTTGGAACAGATGGGTAAATCCGGGCTTGCGTGATGCTACTGCCAAGAGTGGCAGAGAGGAGTTTGCAGCCGGGTCTGCTGGACCCAAAACCCACACTCCTGCCACCTCCCACCTAGTCTCATCCTGGCTGGCAAACCGCCTCAGTGCAGGTGGGGAAACTGAGGCCAAGAGAAGGAAGGATGCATGCCCAGAGCCACACAGCAAGTGAAGAGCGGAAGTGACAGCAGACTGGAGTCTGGTCCTTTTGCCTCCCGCCCTCTGCCCCCAGCAGGTGCAGGAGCCCCAGCCCTCGCTCTGCCCCCTCACTCCACCCGTTCCCCCTGTGTACAACACCCATGATGCTGGGTCCTCCTCATTCAGTTCCAGCTCTGGGTGAAGGCATGGGGCTCCACATCGGGAGGCTCCATTGTGCCTATTGTTTAAATATAGATTACTAATGAAATGCCTTTTCATTGCCTTCCCAGTGAATAGTTTCTGTGTAAAGTTAATTTGCAGTGTTATGTAAATTCTGTTTAACTTCAATCAAGTTTCTAATTATGTTTTTACCGCAGTAATTCCCATTTGATTTGTCATCTCCTGTTAGGTATTTAACGTTCGGTGGGCGGGTTCGCCTTCCCTCTCTGTCTCTCTCGCTTTTCCAAGGCCATCCTCCTCCCCGAGAGGCCTCTGTGTGCCTTTCTCCCTGCTCCTCCCTTCTTTGCCCCCTCTCCACTATCCCTTCATTTCCTCTGCCCCACATCAGCCTCACACTGTCTCTTTCCCTTTCCTTCTCCCAAGTCAGCAACATGCCTCACTCTCCTTCCTGCCCTTTTTCTCACCACTCTCCACCCTCCAGATCCCTGTAGGCCCTTGTCTGGCATTCTCCCTCCTTGTCAGTGCCCACTCAGAGCCCTGCCCTTCCTGAGTTTTCCTCGTAGGGGTTGCTTCGTAGGGTGCTTGGCGCAGATGGAGGCTGAGAGCCGGGCTAGCTGGGTGTGGGTCAGGGCTGAGGGCTCGGTTCCACGATTGGAGGACCAGCCACTGCAGAGGCTGGATGCTGGTTGAACATTGCAAATGCTGAGGTTGTGCTGGGTGGGTCCAGACTCTGCCTGTACCCCTTGGGTTGTTCCTGTGCCCATGTGAGAGCACAGAGCACATGGGCGGTTATCAGGATGCTTTGCTGTGTTTGGGAGTCCTGGCTGGTTCCTCTCTCCATTCCCTGGGTTTCTACGGTACTGTGGTCCAGGAAGGTCACACCTGAGGCCAAACCAGGGTGGGAGCTTGCTATGTGGTGGTCTCCCCAGAACTGGGTCTCAAACTTTATATAGCTGGGGCATAATAAGAAGCTCTGCTGTGGTCAGAGCTGATAAAGCATGTCAGACACAGACCATTGACCCTGGGACAGCATGCCAGCCCCTGGCCTGTGACCTTCCCCAAACACCAGGCTGCTCCTGTCACAGCATGCCCGCCACACCCTTCCTCCCAGCACAGCTCATCCTCAGGGCTTTGGCTTGCAGTCCAGCAGCCAGATCCCACACCATATTGTCCTTGTTCCCACAGGGGCCTTGGCTTTTGCTTGTCCAACCCCATCACTGGGTTTGTGGTTGGGTGAACAATATTCCATGGTGAGCATCTCCCCTCCCCTCAGGTGCCCCTTTGGTCCTGCTCAGCTTCCCATCCACAGAATCTCTGGCACATCCAGGAAGCGGAGAGCAAGTGTTTGTAGAGGGCATTCTTTCAGGTGCACAAGGGCAACCCGGTCGCTTGTCCTGACCCAGCCTAGTCCAGCTGGGCCACATGACCAC